AAATGGAATAAGGAAATGACACCCTATAACATCACGCTTTAATGATTGTAGCGTATGTATGTATATTTGTGTGTGTCTTTCTCCTCCTAGATAAGCAGACCAATCTTGATGAAACTTTGCATAAACACTGCCTGGAGCATTGAAAGTGCCATCATCTATATGGTATATACAAATATTTTATACAAATCAAACTATTGTGTATATTTGTACATTGTTTGTTTGTCGACTTTTAGTGTGTGCATGCTACCTTGATTTAGTTTGTGGATGGTTTACGTTTCTTCCACATCGTATTTTCACAGACAATGCAAATTTTTAATCTTCTAATCATCTATATTGATGATTTATCGTTAATTTTACAATAATATTTACATTATTTTGATATATTTTTCATATTACATATTTATATTCTGACAAAATATCCCATCTGACAATCCATGTAAGACTTCTGTGCCATTTCATGACAAAAGTGCCACAATGGTGGCAGTATCATAGCAACAACAGGAGGGGGTGCAAGTCAATCAATACTGCTGGCCCATAACAATTACATGTTGCTCTCCTGCTAACGGTGCCAAGAGGCACTACGTCTCACCATATGGAGTTAGGCAGAGACTGCATGTTGGTGACTCCTCCATCAACAGGCACTAAGATCTGTACGTTGGTGAGTGGACTGGGTGAGTCCATGGACTCTGGGTTGTAGCGGTAGTCTATCCGCAGGTCCGTTGTACTTGCTGTACATTTCCAGTATACGGCCAGGTTTAGCGGGGTGGAATGGATCCCATCAGACATCACCTGGACACATCAATTAAGTATATGTATCAATTTTTTTCACAATATTACATCTCTGTGTGTTATCCATTTGTTGGACTGCTATGATGCTAGTTTTTAAGGAAGTGTTTTTAAAAATGCTCTAAGTATCAGTATGCAATGTTTTATGACCACAGTAACCCACACCAGGGTGACCACCACCGACAGGTTCAGTGGATTAACACTGATCGTGTCGTGATGATGCAATGCTTTGCTGAGAAATGTTGGATTCTGAAGTCTTTTTCTTCTCTTTCAGAAAGAAAAGTCTTAGCCTGAAAAACAATTATCATATCTGGTTTATTTTTTTCATGCAGTTCTTGCTGACTGACCTGGTATTTCAGGATGTCTACATTATAGTAGGAAGCTGAAGGACTCTGTTCTGAGGCTTTTCTGAGGTAGGACGTCAGTGCTTGCATGTTGAACCAGAAATCCTTGGAATCTGAGTCACTTTGAGAAGGATCACTAGAAAAAAGCAAAACAGTCAGAAAGATGAATACACACACATACACACACAAGTAATAATAATCACAGGCTCAATTATTCATTGCGCTTCTTGGCTTTGTGTGTAGAGCTCCAATAGCTTGGAAAAAATGACCCTGTTATATCCAACCAGCTACTAAATCATGAATTCCATTTGATTCAATTAGTCCTGCCATGTGGTCTGAGAATAACCGAGAGGAACCAGAGCGGGAAACATTCAAATAAACAGAAAAAAGATGTGGTTCTTCATTACTTTTCGGGAACAATACACTTTTAAAATAGAAGCAACTAATTTGGTACCTTATTGAAGCTTTAATTAAAAAGCTTTGCCTGAGACTGAAGAAGTAAGATGTGGAATAAGATGTTGAACAAATAAAGTGTTGAATGAAGCACTGTCTGTGACCTTTTTTTTTTGTCCTTTGCCATTTAAGGCATCTGAAGAGACACAGGCTGCTGAGAACCTGGCTGTCTGGTGGAAAATACTTCCCTGACAGCTTAATACTAGGTTCATGTCAGATTACTAATTGAATTTCCTCTCACTGACGCAGACTGCATTTCCGTGATTCTCGCTCATATCACTGAGTCCAAGGTCCTCTTTCACTCTATCACTGTCAAGTTATCGATTCAACAGCTCAGCTAAGATGGTTAATTATAAAGCAAAACTAAATCGGGTTGTACTTTAGCTTTTTCTCGATACCTCACCTGTATAACAACTGTTGGTTGGGTAGGATCTGCTCCAGCCTGCTGGTGTTCTTCAGCTTGAAGGTGAGGACGGCTGGGGAGGGGTTGGTAGTGAACACCTTGATGATGCCCATTGGAAACGACAGTGTCATGTCTCCAGTGATCTTCACAATGCACCTGTAGAAAACCACCAATGGTTTAGCATGTTAAGCTGAAGTAGACTTTTTAATAGAGACTTTTTCCCAAAGTGCACAACAGACCCATGTAAAACCAGTAGGACCAACATGGCTCCTAACTTTTTAAATCAAATACTGCTATTGTCTTTAATATTTAATTATTTTAAGCTAACAACTTGTTTTGTAATGGAAGTTTTACTTTTAATTAAAGAGTAATTTTCAGCTAGCTAATTTACATTGTTTATCCATTAGGTTAGCAAACTGTTTAATTTGTACACTTAGCTAACAATTTAAATGCTAACCACATTTAATTTTGGGGGGGAATTTTTGTTTAAAAACTCCAAAAAACTAATGTACTCAATTTCATATATTAAAATTTAAGCTAGCTATTAAATGACTTTAATCTACCAAATAAAACGTGGAGCGACCCACTGTGGTGACCCTTTGCAACAGTGGAGCAGCTGAAAAAGTAGCTTTTTATCCATCAAGTTTAATTAACAATATATTCTTTTTACTCATAATTTTGGCTAACTGTTGATGCCTCACACTAGAGTAACAAGCCCCGCAACTTGCGACTATAAAAAAAAAATATATATTGGTGGCTGAACTGAATTTTTTGCTGTCAGAGACTGACTGCAAAAATCTGTCACCAAACAAATGCGGCCGACTGCAATCACTCTCAGAAAAACTGGCAAAGGTTTGCTAATAATTGCTGTCTATCAATTTAATAAATGCTTACAGACTACCGACATGTTACATTGGAGTCAGCATCCAGTAATGACTGCAACTCAATAAAGGGACTAAACTCAATTAGTTGCTAAATAGTTAAATTCTGGCTCTATTCCAACAGAAAAGCAAAGCTGCCAAAAACCCTGTCATTTTACAGTGAAATTGCACGTCAAAATGTCAGTATTCATATCTGTGAAAGCACACTATTGGCTAACAATTAAAAGGTTGGCTAAATTCTTTGTGAACTATTTAAATCGTTCATTCAGATTTTCTCCACTACATCATCACATCCTCCTAAATAATTCTTCTTGGCCACTACTATTTATTGCTCATCCATTACTGTTAGTTACTGTTACTGTTTTTGCTTAGTTCTTCAAATAAATCCACAAAACTGGACCACACATCACTGCAAACAGATTATGATTTATACAACCATCACCAACACGCCATCATGACAATTATCATTTTAACTTTCTGGTACATAACATTACAGACAGCCCAAAACGAGTTACAAGCTGTGTAGAAGTCCTTGAGGAACATTCATCTTTAATACAGAATTCATCTGTTAGTCTTTTTGATTATTCTACGAGTCACCAAAAAGCTAGAAACTCCAAAACGAGCAGCCCCCTGGTTTTGTACACCAGCCAAAAATTTTCTATTTATTTTAATCTAATAATATAAAATTTAAAGATACACCTTTGAGAACCTGGAATTAGCGAATGTATTCAATTATCTAATAACTTCTTTAATATTAAAAAGAAATCTACAAATGACAAATTTAGTCCAGTTGCAGGTCATTCTTTAGCACTAGTAATTCATGTTTTAAATAACCACAATAACTAAAGCTCTATCAAAGACAGGAATAGCTTGCAAACATTTTTTTGTGTAAAACCATGTCACAGCTTGGTAAAAGAATATTTTTCTCTTTAATGTATATTCCTGTTGGAGATTTGTGTTTCAGAAATTCTATATACTTTGAGGCTCTAATGTAGAGCCAGTGTAGGGGTGAGAGGGGTATACTTTCAGCAGAAGTCTGGCCTAAGTTGTGGTGGTAATGGCCCACAGCAGGTCTCAACCTTGCACTCCATCTCTGCTCCATTGCTTATGAAATGTTCCATTTGCTAATCCCTGCAAAAATAAGCCTTCTGCACAGCAGCAATTTAACAGCAGTTAACCAATAAAAGGCTGTATGTTTTCTCTGCCCCAGACTATAATCTGCTCCACGGAGGTTATCGACTCTGAAAGAATGGTGTCAGACTAACGCAAAACATTCCACACATGCAGAGCCAACGGGAGATAACACTCAGCAAAACGCAAGTCCAAAGGCTCATGGAGTGTGTACCGCACATTTGGCTAGGGACAACCGCGTATACCACTGTGTACTGTATAACTCACAGCACCAACTTGAACATGTTATTGTTCAACTTCAAATAAAAACAATGTCTGTATGACCGCAGGTCCAAGTCCGGGTCTTGGAGCAGCAGGAGGTCATGTGAGACTCACTTAGTGGGATCAGCTCCTTTGAAGTAAGCATTAACCGATTCTGTGAAGGCCACAGCAATGGGCAAAGCATCTTGGGATGCCAGGGTCACAGGGCTGGGACCGCGAGACGTCCCTGAGAACGAGAAAGGCACAGAGTTAGAGGTCTGTTGACTCAGCTGCAGATCAGACTTACACAAGAGTCCCAAAGCTCACATCAGAATTAGGAATTTTTGATCATGCAAAGCTGCACTATAAAATTATTGCATTTCATGAGGTCAGCCATCATACACTGCAAATCAGTATATTCAGTTATTTTTCAATAAGAGGATGGGAGATTGTTTAGATGCTTGTGCTGCTTAAGTTAAAATACTATAAGTAATAAGTACTATTAGGCAGTCAGGACAATCTTAGACAGCAGTCAAGTTATTCCTCACTATATCACTTTAACAAACAAATATTTATCAGGTTAGGAGCTGATCCTGACAAATGTGAGAATCAGGTTTAAAATGTCAAAAACAAAACTCACAAACAAGACAGAGAACTGCAACCACGGCAAAGCAAGAGATTGGACTGTCCATCCGTCCGGCCCATTCAGCAGACTGGTGTTAGTTTTAGCTAAGAGCCCGCTAATATGAACTTCAACCATACCTGCTGGAGTTTCGCACCGCTTCTCAAATGTAGGCAGCTTCGCTATGAACATATCATCCTCTTTATGCCGAATTAAAGGCATAAAAGAGGGAAACGGGGAGATACACAAAACCCAAAGAGAAGAAATGTGAGGAAGTGATGCAAAGCACAGTTCCTATATATGTGATGATGGCAGGTGAGCCCTGAGCTGATCAGTCTGATATAACTGCATATAAAAAGTCAGTGCAATGCATGTAGAGTAAACCCACAGTGGTAGGAGGCAGGAAAAGAAAGGAAGACTCACTTTGGTTTAGTGGAAAGAAAGGAGAGAGGGAGAGCAACTCTGGCTCTGGGGAGGAGAGGGGGAGAGCAAAGGTGTGCTCAGCTCCTGTAAGGAGAGGAGTGAATGAAGGAAAGCGAGGGCGGGGGTGGGGGGATGACAGTGTACACTGTACTGCAAAGACAAAAGGATGTGACAGACTGGTGAGGAGCTGAAGAAAAGGAGGATACAAGAAAAATTATTACAAGAAAGAGCGTTTAAATACGTGTATACTGAGGGAGCGTTCCTACCAACAGTGGGGGTGTTGCCAGCACTGAGTGAGGCGTTGGAGGACAAAGAGGAAGAGCTCTCTGCCCGGGCGAGGGGTGCAGTCGGAGTAGGGCTAGATGCTTTAGGTGGACTGAATGGCCTTACCTGCGTTAAAGGGATTCAGATAGATGCCTTTTAGAATATATGGATATAATTTGAACAGCAATAAATGTATGCAGCACATATGTTTCCATTACAATTTCATTGATTCCTGTGAGTTTTCCAGCCGGGAGTTTGGGCCTGGAGGAGGGTCGTGGAGGAGGCACCAAGGCTCCAGGTGCCAGAGGGGTTGTAGGTCGGTTTAGTACTGGCACTAAACACAGAAACACATATTTGTTCTGGTCAGTGCTACTTAAACTGCATGAAAACTGGGTATGAAAAAACATCTTTATACTGCGTGAAATTCATACAGTTAGATACAGCAAACTCATGCAGCATGACCTCTTTTTTTTTTTTAAACACACAAGTGCAAAAAAAATTAAATAAAATACCAAAAACAACAGAAAACAAGTAAAAGACATTCCAAAATAAATGGCACAAAAATAAACCCAAAGACAAACAAGCAAACGGAGTCATGAGTTACACAAAATAACACAAAAAAACAGAAAACATTTGCAAATAACATGTAACCTCCACGCTTAATCATAAAATAAATGCACCAAAAATAAGAACTTGCATTTAAATAAAAAGAAAAGATCAAAATAATCCAGCAAACCTCAGGCAAAAGGCAGCAGTTTCTAGCAGCAGTTACCATTGAATATTTTGCTTGTTGGAGCTGCAGCCCTATCTGTAATCCCAGAGAAGACATCAGTGAAAGAGAGGCTGCTGTCATCTCGGCTGCTCGCTGCTTTGTAGAAGGCATCAGCAGACTCATCGGACAGGAAGTGACCTGACCTACTGGAACCTGACTGTGGTTTTTGAAGCTCCTTCACAGATGACCCAGAGCCCAGACAGCGAGGTGGAGCAAAATTATCACTGAAGGCAATCCACTGGCTCTGAGCCCAGGAAACAGAGGAGAAGGTGTCTGCGCTCTTTGGAGGGCTGGGTGTGTCTGAGTTTTTGATGGGGTCGACTGGCTCAGTTGGCCGGGTGATGGGGGCGCTCTGGGCCCTCGCCGGTACGGGCTTAAGTGCTTGAAAAGGGTTTTCTGGTGAATCCCAGGGAGAGGACGTAGATGACGAGAAAGAGTAAACATCTTTGGACTGCTGGCTCTCTGCCAAGGGAGGGTAGCGCTCCCGTTGTGGCACTGTCTCAGCTGAAGGGGGCAACGTGATTGACAGTGGGAGGGTAAACATGACAAATGCAAAGTGGTTGGGTTTAGACGGACAGATACAGATATACTCTAATGCACAGTTAACAGTAATAAACTGCCTCAAATTGAAATATTTTAACAAAAATCAAATATAAAATGTTACAATTAACAGGTATTTGTATTATTTTTCTTATAGTTAGAAACAATGTGAGAATAGGACACACACACACACACACACACGATTTAGTATGTGTTCAAAGTAGCATCACGTCAATCAGCTGAGAATGGGGACATTATCTATGCATTGCAATCTGAACAATAACTTGAAATTGAGCAAATTTTAAAAGTTTTTTTAACTGTTTTTTCTGTCGACTGACTAATCAGACACACTGAGCATATCATTAGTTCACGTTGGACATTAAGTCAGGCTTAGCTGATCACAATCTCAGCCCACATCAGCTGTGGCTCAGCTGATACCAATCAGCATCCAACTGGCAAATCTCATTTACGACACTCTGTATAAGCTGCTTTACCATGATGCACACTCCGAGCTGCTTTGCAACCCACCCTGACCCCAGCTCCTCCTTTCATGCTGTGTCTGACTTCATCAGTGTCAAGATCTGATGTCATTGTCTCCTTTTCTGTGCTGTACTGTAGCCTTGCTGCTCTCTTCACCTCCAACTTCAGATGTAAGTGCCTGGATGTGTGGGGAGGTCTCAGGACAGAGTCAAACCACCAAATAAATTACTGCTGGTGGAAATAAGTAGGTTGTTTTGACTATAAAGGCCCTGACTGAACATTTGGCTGTTTTGTGATGCAATCTTGTTCCTGAAATAAGTATTTCTAAAACTTTGCATCATGTTAATGAGACCACTTTGGCGCTGTCATTGTATCTGTATATGATTGTTTAACCATACAGCAAAGAATACGGAGAGACTTATTTTGTGTAACGGCTCAGACACCCAGGAGTAAGAAGAAAAACAACAACTTTCTTGCAACAAGCAAAAATCGGGGGTTGCACAGCAATTTCATTGAGGTTTTTGTTGCTGTTGCCTGTCTCATTGGAATGGGGGACTCAGCTTAACTGGCTGACAGTTAGTTGTATTCTGGTTACATTCTTATATAAAAGTAAGGTTGCCAAGCTCCTGTGTCATCTTGCCATAAATTTTGGTCATGCCACAGCCTCCTATCACTGTTTTCCATAGTGTGACTGTAGCACAACGACGCTTTGATGCCTGCTGTGTGTTCCTTGGCGACTTGCACCATACAACAGTTAAGTTAACATTAAATAATGTTACATCGGCTGTCACAAGCTACCATTTCAGCTGGTTGCACAACTCTCGATTTTTCTAACCTGGTGTGATGTGCTGCTGCCGACAAAGCGGTGGGTATACCAAGACTTTAATGATCCAAAATGAAAAACTAATTTTAAAGTGTAATCAATTTAAATTTTTGCTGTCTCTAGATTCAATGATCTTTTGACACATAACATATTAACTTGTGAAAGTTAATGCATATCTTTTCTTCTCCACAAAAGAAGTGATTCATCTGCTTTCACAAGTTAAGACATGACTTTTTGTTGACATGTAAAGCATCTACAATTGTTATTAAGAATTACAGTGGCTTGCAAAAGTATTTGGCCCCCTTGAACTTTTCCACATTTTGTCACATTACAGCCACAAACATGAATCAATTTTATTGGAATTCCACGTGAAAGACCAATACAAAGTGGTGTACACGTGAGAAGTGGAACAAAAATCATAGATGATTCCAAACATTTTTACAAATAAATAACTGCAAAGTGGGGTGTGCGTAATTATTCAGCCCCCTGAGTCAATACTTGGAAGCACCTTTTGCTGCAGTTACAGCTGCCAGTCTTTTAGGGTATGTCTCTACCAGCTTTGCACATCTAGAGACTGAAATCCTTGCCCATTCTTCTTTGCAAAACAGCTCCAGCTCAGTCAGATTAGATGGACAGCGTTTGTGAACAGCAGTTTTCAGATCTTGCCACAGATTCTCGATTGGATTTAGATCTGGACTTTGACTGGGCCATTCTAACACATGGATATGTTTTGTTTTAAACCATTTCATTGTTGCCCCGGCTTTATGTTTAGGGTCGTTGTCCTGCTGGAAGGT